AACTCACTTGGTAGCCCAGGCTGGCCTCGAACTCACAGAGATCCGCCTGGCTCTGCCTCCCGAGTGCTGGGATTAAAGGCGTGCGCCACCAACGCCCGGCGTTTCCATCACATCTTAATGCCTGAAGATAGTGCTGGCCATGGTGAGCATTCAGGACTCGGATGAACAAGAACAGACTCGGACGGACTCTTAGAACTGTTCATGTCTTAGTGCTCTGTGCTCCTGGGTCCTGGTTGGGGTAGCACTTCCTCAATTCTTTTGGGTGTGTCTGTGAGACTGTGTGACCTGCTTAGGTCTGTAATAGGTTGGTAAATGTGTCATGGGGATGAGAGGTGTAGATGCTCGTGTAGATCCTTTGGTGTACTGAGTATCAATGGTAAAGGTGGTGTCTTTGATAACAACTTAGATAACAACTTCATTGTGACTTAGAGTAAGCTGCCAAGTTTTGGGGATCATCTGGTCTATCCTGATAGCCACAGAAATCTGATGGGAATCCTTAGACTCAAAGGTGTCTGGAAAAGAGTCACTCAAACATTTCAGAGTCCTGTGTTTGTTCCAGTGTTTCTTTAATCTTAGGTCAATGTGGCATCTTAGAACTAAGTCTTGAGCCAGGGTGGTGGTACAGAACTTTAATCCCAGCACTCAGTGAGTTCAAAGTCAGCCTGGTCTATATAAGAGACTTTGTATTCCCCTGTCCACCATGAAGTCTTGGCCAGAAGCAAGATAGATGGCAGGATTAAGTGTAGCTGAGTAGGTACTGATACTGTGTGCAACAAGCCTGCTAGGCCTTGGCGTTTATATGTTAAGTCTTTCTCTAGCTTCCTGCAATGATTCACCCAATCCTGGGTTGCACCGCTGGCCTCCTTGATGTCATCTCTTCAGGCCACCCTACCTGAGGAACAGGGGCTTTGTCAGGAATGCCTGTGAGTAGCTAAGCTATGGCCTTCTGTGCCCTAGGAACTCAGTAACTAGAGAGTCTGAGGCATGATCACAGACGAGTGAATTTGATAACACCACCAATTGTGCCAGGCTTAGGGGACAGAGTAGAGCTCAGCTTGTCCCTTCCCAAAGCAGTTGGCTGAGTTCCAGTTAACTCAGACTGCTCACTTGACTCTGGAGAAGAGCAAAGTGACCAGGAGCCTTTCAGAGGCTGTCACTGTGAACAGGCTGGGGTGGGGGGGAGGGGCACTTTACCCTGAGGAGCTCCAGTGTGCTTTCAAGTGTTTCTATAGAATGGGGGCATTACACTGTAGCCCCCATTTTACTGTTGTATTTATTTAATTTTTATTTTCTGAGACAGTCTCACTTTGTAGCCCTGACTGGACTGAACTTACTATTTAAACAAGGCTGACTTTAAACTCGAAAGAGACCCATCTGCCTCTGTCTCCCGAGTGTTGGGATTACAAGTATTAACTACCAAGCCCTGATTTCTTTTACTATTTTTAAACTTTCACCAATACTGTATCATTCTGTTGGGTTTTTTTTTTTTCCTTTTTTGCTTTCCTCCTCAAACTTGATATTAATGGAGCATTAAAATATTTTTCTGGGGCCTGTGGAGATGGCTGTGAGTAAAGTACTCGCCATGCAAGCATGAGAAACTGAGTCTGCTCCTCAGCACCCATGTAGAAGGCAGGCACGGTGGTATTTACACACTGGTGTGCAAGCGACCCCCCAAGTGTTTGAGTTGGAAATGTTAAGATAGTTTGATTTCCTTGGCAGTCAGGGCTGTCTGTCTCCTGAGCTGCCTGCACCCACTCTTACCAGCTTCAGAGTGTGTTCCGCAAGTTCAGCCTGTGCTGCTAGACTTTGCTTACTGGGTACCGACATAGTTAATTGATAATGATACAATGCTTCAACTAAGAAAAGTACTACTAAAATTTTACCTTTCAAATGAATTTTACTTGTAAAAAGTTCTATAAAAATATTACGAAGTTTCCTATACTGGTTGGCATTTCATGTGGTGTGTGTGTGTGTGTGTGTGTGTGTGTGTGTGTGTGTGTGGTGTATTTGTATGCCTGTGTGGACACAGAGGCCAGAAGAGAATGTTAGGTGCCCTGCTCTATCATTCTTTGGCTTATATCCCTGAGACAGGGTCCAGTGCTCCTCCTGACTCCACTGCACACAATGCTGGGTTACAAGCTTTTTACCTGAGGCCTGGGATTTGAACTTAGGTCTCAATGTTTGCACATCAAGCCCCTTTCTCACTGAAGTGCCAACCTGATGAGCCTGTTCCAGAGAATTCAGTGCTGTGAAGTCTGGGAAACTTACCACTTGACTGTGTGTGATGAATGGATAGAGACAGACAGACGGACAGAGATACTTCATAGCCCAGGCTGTCCCGGAACTCCCAGACAGTCCTCTTACCTCAGCCTCCCCAGATTACAGGCATGTGCCACCATGCCCGCTGAGGTCCTTCCCATGCCTCACTGCCATGTCGTACAGATAGGAAGTGTTTCCTCTAGTGGTGATATTTCTCCTTCTTTTCTTTTCACCCCAGGTTGTATCAGAGTAAGATGGACGGTAGCTTTGATTGTGATTGTGGTGAGCTGGAGCCACCTGATCACTAACAAAAGATACCTGTCAGCCAACATCACCAGGGCTTCCTGTTGAAATACAGCAACAAGGAAGAGAGGAAGCAAAGGGAATAGTGCTTTCAGCGCCTTAGGATGCTGCTCAGGACCAGTCCAACACTGAATGTATCTGCACTGTGAGAGGATGTCCACGGAGGCCTGCCGGGTGCATATTTATTCACAGTTTTGTCCCATGTTAAGTCGGTTAGCATAGTCTATCTGAGTGCATAGTATGTCATTTCATTCCGTTTGAGTTTCTTGAGTGTTTTCTTTAAATGTCTGCAGA